TGTGTGTGTGTGTGTGTGTTGTGTAAGAGAGTGTGCACGCCTGCGTAGGCACATGGACAGGTGGACACGGTTGGTTGTGCTCTCTCGGTCATGCCTAAAGTTGACGCATATAGAGACAACCTCAACTGTCGGCATGCTTGAGAGTCGGCTGTCTGCAAACTTTGCTGACATTACGCCTGACCCGGGCGCATGTTCTGCCATCGACCAATACAACTTTGCCCCTGAAGCCTGGAATTGTGGAGTGCACTCGTACGCAAATGGTGCGAAGCCGCATCATGTGCACTTGATGCCACTGTCCCAAAATAGGCTGGTTCAGATTTCCGGGTCTGTGCTTCTCGCCGATTCGGCCGACAGGGTGTACAAAACTTGCTCCTCGATGACGCGATCATCTGGCACAAATCGAGTTCTCCTTCACCCATTCGACACAGACCGAGGCGAGGCGGACAACGGAATGTTTACGGAGTCGTCCTCCCCTCGTATGACGGCATGGTACCGGCCGATTGGCCACACACACACACCAAAGTGATTAGTAAAGAAGAAGTCTGCTCTGCTGGCCAGAGCAGCAGTTGAAACCGAGGCGAAGTCATAACTGCAGTTCAGTCTGGTCGGCCTGAGGGTACCATTTATGAGGTGAGGAAAAGTCGAATCCAACGGCATCATGCAGCCTATTCGTGTGATTTTTTCGTAAATGAGTATGTTTTCGCGACTACCCGTAAATCAGATATATGCGGTGTGTTCACCCCATTTCGTTTAAATTGATGAAGGATTGGTATTTGACTTTTCCCACAATGCTATGAGTAGAGCTGATGATTTCTATTTAATTTCACATAGCCTTGCTTTCCAAAAGGTGTTCACATCCAGGCTGGGCTGCGGTTTCAAGGAATGTCAAGCATCTTTCATGCCAAATTATGCCCTGTGCACCAAGGGCACAGGGTATTTAACATATCAAGATTATAGCCCGCACTGTCATGGTTCTACTAACTTCTTGTGGTGTTGACAAGACCAATGCGAGGGCGAAACTGCAGTCCACTGGTGCCTGGATGAGAACACCTTTTGGGAAAGCAAAGCTATGTGAAATTCAATGAAAACGTCTGCTCTACACATAAGATTGTGGGAAAAAATCAGCTCCCGGTCCTTTATCACCTTAAACGAAATAGGATGATAACAACTAATATACCTGATTTACTGGTAGTCTCGAAGGCCTACTCAATTACGACAAAAGTAATGTCATTAATTGGTATAGCAAATATAAGTTTGCTTCATCGACAATCTCAACACAGAAAATGTGATATAGAAAATGCCTGACATTCCTTGAAGTTCATATCTGTCCTGTGACCCAAGGGTACTCTGTGGAAATGTGGTGTAGTGGTTAACGTGCCGAGCTTGCACGCTGCACTGTCATGGTTCGACTCCCGCTTGGGGTGTTGATAAGAACTGTGCAAATTCGAAACCTCAGTCAACCCAGGATGAGAAGACCTTTTAGGAAATGAAGGATATGTGAAATTCAATTGAGAACATCACCTTGACCCATAAAATTGTGGGAAAAAGTCAAATACCACTCTTTAATCACATTAAACGAAATAGGGTAGAGACAACTCGCATTCATCTGATTGTTGGAAAATTAAACTACCATCACTTTAAGCGACCTGGGCTGACTAAATCTCATATTGAAGATATGAAGGTATGGTCACAGCCTCCTTTCGATTTATACAAGTGGGCTGACCTCGTTGTCGCAACTTGGTCTTGTTGTCAGGGTGGCAACAAGTCCGAAGTCGTCTGCCCTAGTAGTTGTCATGATTCATAGCATCAGACAGTGGATTTGGTACATTCTCAAACGTTTCGCCGGCATCGTAGTCGGCATAATCAGTGACTTTTGCGATTCTCCGCACCAAGCTACGAACTTGTCAAATAAAGAAGTGATGTCAATCCTTTGGTGAGTTCGTAGCTTGGTGCGGCAAATGGCAAAACTCACTGAAGATGTTGACTACTATGCCGGTGAACTGTTTGAGAATGTACCAAGTCCACTGTCTGATGCTGGGAATCATGACAACTACCATGACAGACGACTTCGGACTAGGTGCGTTCTATTAAGTCACCCTGACAACAAAACCAAGTTGCGACAACGAGGTCAACCCACTCCTAAAGCTCATATTGCTGATAATGAAACTTTACATTGTTTCCCCCCTTACCTCAGTTGGGCATGCACTTTGGGGTCGGTAAATCTGGCAGTTCTATGCTTTAGGCTCAAGATGGCTAACGACACATGATAAAAATGTTGATCTATTCATATCAATTTTACCCGAGTAATGGTAAATGGGAATGAAAGAAACTATTCTGAAGGTAATGCACCCGCAAAGATAAAGAATAAAAGCGTCTGTCGGGGCTCTCGGAAGATGGATTCGGTATCCTATACACAAGGAATTCTGCAGGAGTCGACAACACGACTAATCAACTTGACAATATGGACCACCTACTTCACATTCAGAGACAATACTTATGGACAGATATTTGGAGTAGGAGCGGTATCCATCTTATTACGTTTAAGGTGATGAAGGAATGGTAGGCGAACCACCCCACAATCACATGTGCAGGCCTCATGTTTTCATGAAACTTCACATAGCCTTACTTCCCAAATGGAATTATCATTCAGGGTGAACTGCAGATTCGAGTCACGCTGGGGGTAGTGATGAGAACTAGGCAAGATCGAAACTGCAGTCCATTCCTGCCTGGATGTGAATACCTTTTGGCAAGCAAGTCTATGTGAAAGGCAATGAAAACGTGGGTATCACTTATGTGATTGTGGGAAAATTCAACTACTAGTCTTTACTCTCTTTAAACCAAATAGGGTGAATGCAGTTAATTTAGCAGTTCTAATAATAGTCTCTAAAACGTACCTAGGATGCGATACATATTTGGACTATCTATAGAATTTCCACTCCTACTTCTGTCGGCGTATGTATATATGGACAAATTATAAAATTAAATTGCCAATTTGGTCACGTAGTGGAAACAAATTAGATGAATTCCGTAAGTTTATCAGTCAGATTGACGAAATAAGTAAATTTATGATGGAAGCTGATAAGGAATATCAACTACAATGCTCGGATGTCTAAGTCATTCACTACAATGAAGAACCCAAAATAAGACCTTTCGAAGGAATAGTCCTAAATTTGCAGCCTCATCACGAATACAGATTAAAGGTCTGAATACTGAGGAGCATAAATTCCTGAGAAGGATAATTGAATAAAGTTACTCAGATTTACCTAAGTGACGTATAGCCTATATACATAATACAAAGAAATATTGTGAATGTAGAGAGCAGACGGCAGAACGGGATGATGAAAAGTGAATATAAAGTAAGAACGACCTCAAAAAAATGAATAACATCCCCCTTCAAGGTATTCTATGAAAATGTAATATCCAGCTGACCACGAAAGCGAAGACAACAATCTGGCCAAGCTTACTGAAACAACAATAAAAGGTGGACAACTTGAATTGGTTGGGATTCTGTTACATAATAATAATATGCAGTGAATGTGAGTATAAGTATATTGGTGAAACAACAATAAAAATGGACCTATAAATAAAAAAAATATCAAAAACTCAGCATGGATATTGAGAGATCAGACTTAACAGAACGCATTCCGTGGACAGGACACATGATAATTGGAAAGCAACAGAAAGACTTGCAGTATTTAGTGAAAATGCAAGTAAACACAAGAGTAGGGAGACCATCGATATCTTTACTAACAGAATTAATGATAATTTTATGTATTTAAACGTATTGTCAGGGCGACTTAGTTAGGCACACTTTGTCCGAAGTTATCTGCCATAGTAGTAATCATAATTCCCAGCTTGGCTTGAGAACCGGGGCTTTGAAGGCCTGTCCAGTAAGGCTAAAGTATGTGTGCAGTGAAACGTCGGATGCAGAGCTACGAAGGATAATCGGATGGGAACTCAAGTCAGCCTTGGTCGACTAAGGCTGTTAAGGGCGCTAGTAAAATTTCCCACAAGGAGAGGAGTAGGCCTC